CTTTTTGGATTTTCTACTTACCCATTTATGTCTGAGTTTGTGGAAACGTAACGTTATACAAATATTTTTTTTTCTTTCTATTTTCTGTGATAAATTTTTCATTCATATTTTTTTTTCTGTGATTTTTTTTCTGACTGGGTGGTAAAAACGCATCTTTCCTGATTACAAGAAGAAAAAAAATATATATTTGGTTTATCAAGACAATTTTTTTATAATGATTAGTCCTCCTGATTAGACGATTATTTTTTTTACTTATGAATTATTCTCATAAATCAGTCGTAAATCTAAATATATTTTTTTCCCATTTTCTCTTTTGTTTCTATAGAATATTATATATATATATATATATATATATAAAAACAAGAATAATAAAAAAACAATAAAAAAAAAACATCATTTCCTTCAATTGAAAAATGGCTTAGTTCTTAATGGGTTAATTCGTGGAAAATTTATTAAATAGCCTCAGGCGAAAGTCACAGTTACAAAAGAAAATTAAACGTGGGCGATTGTGAAATTATTTATTATTTATTTCATTGAGTTTTATAGTTGCAAAAAATAATTGATAAATACAGTTTGAATGAGTTAAACAAGATTTTTTTTTCGAAAATATTATACACAGTTTTCTTTAACATCTACATAATTTTATTTTTTTTAAAATTAAAATCATCTTTAAAAACTCTGTTCTTATTTAAACTGTAACCGCATTATAACGCATAATTTCTGTTATCCAAATTACAGAAAAAAAGATTTAAAATTTTAATTGTTTAGAATTAAAAATGTTTTTTTTTCTTTTTCTTTTTTTCAATTTTTGGAGTTTGTTCTGTTATATATAATTGTTTAGAATATAACTTCTATTATATAATAGTTTACAATTAAAAATGTTTTTTTTTTCTTTTTTTTTTCTTTCCTTTTTTTCTTTTCGAAGTTTGTTCTGTTATGTATAATTGTTTAGAATACATCTTCTCTTATATAATTGTTAGGAATTAAAAATGTTCTTTTTTTTTCTTTTAATTTTTAAACTTTGTCCTGTTATATATCACAGTTTTTAAATCTAAAATTAATACACAAAAGAAAAATATGATATCCCGAACTTCCAATTTTTCTCTTTTCTTTTAAAATCCGAGAGTTTCATTAAAAATGTAAACGACAGTGCAGTGAACAGCTTTATTGGGAACTCGGGTTTTAATCATCCATGATATCAAGAGCACTGTAGTTGCCGGAGAATGTTTCTGGTTGCAGTGTAATTATATATGCTGTTGCAAGAGACTTTTTTTCTCTTCAAAAATAGCAATCTGCTGGGAAAGTTTCTGAAAGAACAATATGCATTTTTTTTTTCCTAAAGCCTGAAAAGTTTTTTGTTTATTCTTAATAGAAAAAAGTAAGATAATTTTAAAAGAGTTGGGTACGTTTTTTTTTTTTTTTTTTTTTTCCGTTATGATGGGGAAGTCTAACTTTATACATACAGAAGAATTTAAGTTTATGCATAATGAAAGTCCAACGTTATTCTGTTTTTTCCCCTATGGATTTCTTTTTAGTTTTACAGTAACAATTTTGTGGCTAGAAGTTTATGATTTTAAAAATAAACGCTAAAGTCAGTTAAAAGAAAATAATTGTTTTTTTAATGTTTTCCAAGGAAAATACGAATAAAGGCATAAAATATGTCTTACTTAAACAATGTGTAAGTACTGAAATGTAAGAAATATATAGAAATACTAAAATGTAAGAAATGTAAGAAATATAATAATATGTTGTCATAGCAACGGAAATTGCCGTCGTACATTTCGCTTATTATCATGGTAAATTAAGTTTAATAATATTGAGACCAAAACTATGTATTCTTATATAATTAATTATGGCATGTCTCCAAATAATTTTATTGCAGTACATCATTATTTACTCTAAGAAAGAACTTTATAATCTCATATATTAAAAAATAATTGAATGTTGATTCCACTTTATCATTAATTCATTCTTTTTTAATTTGAATTTTTGCGTTAATAAGAAAATATATCGAATGATTAATGATTATAAAATATACAATACCCTTAAGACATGAGAGTTAAAGTCTATGTTTATACAGATATATAATCTTCAAAAACTGTTTTAATTTTAATGACCGATTGTTATGTTATTTGCAGCTATCATTACACAAAATGAAATCCATTTTTTTTTCTGTCACTTTTAGCCTAGGAGTTTTCACAAAGGAATTACATATTTTTCTGTAATTAATTGAAAATGCTATATTATGACAATTACTGTTAATTTTATTAATCTATAAATCAAACCAAATTCTCAAAATTTGAAATATTTATTTGCTGGTTTTGCACTTTATAGTTACCACAAATATAGTTGTATCAATAGGGTGAATTAATATGTCTTCTCGATGCCATTGCAATTTGATGCAACAAAAACGTAAAATAAAACGCAACACTATTATTAGTTTTTGACCGATATTAATAAAGGAACAAGTTTGAAGAGCCCAGAACCTAAAAAATTAATTATTGGGCAGTAGCGAAAAATAAATGGCATATATGCACCAATAAGAAAGTTATTCGTTTTTAATTTTTTTGTCTGCATTTGTTATTAACCAGGGTTAATATGTTATTCTGAATTTAAAATTGTTTCATCTTTTTAATGGCTATTGTTGTAAGAAACTACTTTACTCATATTTATGTTTAGGGAACTCATGCAAATAATGCTATCCTGCCCCTAAATATGTTAGATTTTTAAAATTCGACTAGGATTTGTGAAAAAACTGTGCAGGAGTAATTGTTTCATTTTTTCTCGTAATAATCACCTAACATCGGCAAAATTTTCATCCTTAGCATTTGTTAGTTTCAAAACAAAATATTTTTTGGCTTTGAAACGCAAATATAAAACGAATTTGATTTTGTTTGCAACCAAATTCTGTTCAAGTATAAGATGGAAAAATATTAATTCATTGATTTAATTCTTACATACAGTTTGAATATTTTTGATTATTCATTTGATTATTCGTTTTCATAATATTTGATTATTTTTGTAGGAATAAATTAAATGTTTGTTAGATAAAGATTATTTTATTAAAAACCACATGTTCATTCATTCTAACCAATGCACACATACGTTTCCATATTGATATACTTATACTTAACTAAAGAAACAAAAATTAAAAAAGCGATACAAAGGTATTTATTATAATTTTGTATTATTATAGGAAGTAAGATGAATGAACTATAAATGATGATATGGCATTTAATAATGAAAATGCCTGGGATTGTAAAAAAAAAACATAAATCTGTCTTTTTTGGAGAGGTGGGATAATACAAAGATAAAAAGCACGTTAAAATATTGTTTTCAATTTCGAAAGATCATTACTATGCTCAAAATTCCCTTTGTCAGGTTAAAAAAATTTTACAATATTTAACAAATTACATTTTTCATTTTCCAATAGTATGTTCCTTGTTCACTCATCTAAAGATGTCACAAACAATTTGAATTGCATTGAATTACGTGGCAAAAGCTTTGTCCCTTCGTCTTCGAGGGTGCATAAATATCGCGAAGGAAGCGAAGGCCTCATTTTTCTTCTGGGCAGCTACTCTGAGGATAATCTTGCATCATTAGGCCCGATGGAGTGCCGGCCACCTTCCTGTTTTGGAGAATTGATGATGGTGACCGATGTAACGACACTTAGTTGTTGTACTGCGCAAAATGGATTATGGACATGTAGAGTTCAGTATAGATAGAAAGGTTCAAATAGTTTGAGGAAAATTCGTAAACAGATGTTGCTGTCACACAAAGGGTTATAAATGCAGTCCAGAATGTGCCTAATTCCTAACCGTTTTCAAATAGAATTCCAAAACTTCTTTTGTCCAAGATAGTTTATAATCCCATCCTACAAACTACAAAACGAATAATTTCGAACTCGTAATGTTTAGATGTTGGAAAAATTATGATATGGAATTAGATACTTATGAATTACGTAACAATATAAATTAATAACTATAATTAAAAGTATGTTATAAATAAATTTAAAATACGCTAAAAGTCCGCTTCGATTCGATGACGGCATGATGATAAAGTAATCTTCTTGCCGTTAAATAGCAACACTGGAATGTTTTAGCAGTCTCGTAATAAAAAGAAGGTCCAAAAAAATAAAAATAAGTGATAAAGAATGAAAATGAAAGTAAACAAAAACAAACCTCCAGAAATTGAGATATAATACTTAATACTTTTTATTTACATAAAATTAAGCATTTAAAATGGTAAATTACGAAATAAAGAATATATTTATATTACATATGAAAATGGATGTGTAACTTTACTTTTTACTGACATCTTAAGCAAAAAGGGTTCCAAATCATCTGGATTTTATTTATTTATTTATTAATTTATTTTAAATTTGATTAATTTTAGCTTTTCCTTTTAGCAAATTGAGTTTTTTAAGTTATGAACTACTTGAGAAAGGTGGTTTTGGCGATACTAAAAATTCGTTTTCTCATTAGTCTCGTTTGAAAAATATTTGCTACGGAACTACTATTATATCAAATGATGAAATTTTTATTTTCATATTAATATATAAACACATTTCTCTAGACGTTTAAACTTTATAATAATATTACATTTATTACGTATGTTTTATTGTTTTATTGCAACAAGCCTTATATTTTATTTACTAAATAGATGTAATCAGAGCTTATGTGAAAACAAAATTGCGATGATTTTTTTTTTAATTTATAAACTGTGACTGCAATGCATGTCAATGGTGGGTGTTAAACTCTCAACCAATCGTACAATAACTATATATGGTATCCTCTGGGACAAGAGAGTGTATAAAATAATTAAATTATATTTTTATCTCAGCCCCTCTACTTGTTTGCTCGGGACTTCACTCTAATTTAAACAGAATTGTGATTTGTGTACTCTTTACTGGCAGGCCAGAGAAAACATGTTCTTATCACACGGACTTTTATTAGAGTGCATTCAGCTTTTTAAAATTATATCCTTAGAACATTTAACATTCACCGAAGTGAAGCATCATTGGGCGCGGTCAGTACTTGGGTGGGTGACCGCCTGGGAACACTGCGTGCCGTTGGCAAATTTGGGACCTGAATATCCGAGTGTCTAGCGCTCTGGCGCTCGGTGACACAGGTTTCGGGTTCGAACCCCGGCGGTGCCATGGATGTTTGTAGTGGTTCGGAATCCACTTTAAGCCGTAGGTCCCGGTCTTCTATGAATGTAAGAGCGTCACGGAGCAAAAGTCAGGCTTCTACCTACGGGTGCTCCATCACAACAGAAGCTGCTTCCTTCCCCTTCAATCATGAGTCCATATGGGCTCGTGGGCTTGGCCAGCCAAGTGGGATAAGAAACAACAACAAACAGCACATTTAACATGTTTTTAATTGTTTTTAAGGCCTTTTGGTCGTTTTTTAAGGTCCTAGGTCTGTTTTTTTGTCTTGTACTTGTGATTTGTTAATATGTTCTTTTTGTTTCTACGGTAAGAGGTGAAATTGACTTCACCAAGTTCTAATAAAGCCATAGGTAAAAACAACAACAATAACATATTTTTATCTCATGCAACTAGCATTTGACATTAATAAAAGATTCCACTTATAAAATTCATTAATTATATTAATTTATTTTTTAATACTAACTAGGTAAAATAAAAATAAAAATATTGAATGTTTTATGTAGGTATTAAATGTATTATTAATTGCAAAACTTACATGATATATTTCTGCTATTTGTTCAAAATATCTAATTACACTCATGTCCATAAATTAAGGATAATGAAGTTCAGGCAAAGAAAGAGACAGAAGCACAACAAATTTGACTTATTTGTAAAGTCTATTTATTAAACAAACGGTAAAGAGCAAAAAAGATGCTATATGTTTGACATAATTAATAAAAATTGCAATTTTTACTCCATGGAGCAAATTTCAAAAAAGAACCTATTTACAAAAAACAGTATAACATGGTTAGTATGATGGTTAATATAGAGTATGTCTCCCGGACGATGCAATACAGGCCTTACAACGCCTAGGCATGCTGAGTATCAAATTATCAATCTGATCTTGGAGAATATTACACCACTCATCAAGCAATGCCCTCTGAAGTTCCGGTTGACAGGTGGGAGGGGGTTGACGGGCTGCAATTCGTCGGCCAAGCATATCCCACACATGCTCTATTGGATTCAAGTCCGGTGAGTATGCTGGCCAATTCATACGGGTAATATCCTCCAATTGAAGGCATTCGTCTACAATGTTTGCATGGTGAGGACGGCGTTGTCATCCATAAACAGAAATTCAGCACTCATGTCGCCCCAAAACAAACGTACATGTTGTTCCAGAATGACATCCCGATAGATGTGGCCTGTCATCGTTACGCTCTGAACATGCAGGTCAGTTCTGGAACCAAGAATAATTTCTCCCCACACGACCCATCCTGCACCACCGTAACGGTGTCGTTCAATGGTGTTATCTTGGTGGTAACGTGTACTTGGCGCTCTCCGTATGAAAGTCCGGCGAGAATCAGACTGCAAACTAAACCTGGACTCGTCGGAAAACATCACACAAGACCACTGTTGCGGTGTCCACAATGCATGCTCTCTACTCCAGGTTAATCGCAGGCGACAGTGAGTTGCGGTAAGTGGAACACATCTGACAGGCCTACGAGCATATAGACCAATGTGGCCTAAGCGTCTGTACACAGTCTGCCTTGAAACTGTCGTACCGGTAGCTGAAGAGAGCTGACGAGACAGGTCTGATGCTGTGCTCCGTCTGTTTCTTTTGGCAGTAACTGCTAAATACCGTTCCTCATTCGTCGTTGTAACTCGGGGGCGACCAGTGCTGTAACATCTACTCGCATTACCATCATCTTGGAATCGTTGCCAAAGCCTGGAGATGACACTCTGGGCGGTTCCAAGTTCCTCGGATACTTCCAGCTGGGTACGTCCACATTCCAGTCGTCCGATAATTCTACCATGTAAAAAATCATCCAAATGCTTCCTTTGTGCCATAACTATGCGATTATTGCACTGAAAGGCTTAAAGCGCTTGTGAACATTTTTACTTTTTTGCCACCATTCCTTATATACCCCTTTCTTACACTCTCGTCATTGTGACGTACTATCTGGGCCATCTAGTGGTTTCCTGTAATTTGCATATTCTTCTTCAAGATGTGTGTGATAGTTCTACAGGTGAAATTTTTATTTTAGAGTTCGATTTCTGTGCGATTCTGAATTATCCTTAATTTATGGACATGAGTATATTTAAAATTATTGCATGAAAAAAAAGTCTCAAAATTAAATATTTTCAAGGAAAGAAATAGCAGTTTGTTTGACATATAAATGTAAAAGCATTACACATGTATAAAATAAAATGGATTTAAATATGTATTTCACTTAATATTTAATTAAATTTAATAATATAACTGCAGATGAACCATTAATTCATATTATTCTCGCATGAAAACATTAATAAACGAATGTAATTGGAATTTAAAGGGGAAAAAATCCCAGAAAAAATATGAATAAGAATTTGATGTGTGTGCAAGTGATAAAGCGCATTCTTCCACTGAGCCTGTCCAAAACAATAATGTATAGGACACGGGGGATCATTTTTTTTAGCTGGCAGGGAAATACTAAAATATGAGTGAAAAAAAGGGATTTTTTCAAGAATTCAAATTTCTTCCAAGTCTTTTGCTTGCTGATTAGAAATCAATGGGACGGAATGCTGCTCAACTCAATTCATCTCAGCAGAGATTTCGAGTTGCATTTTATTTTGAATTGTTGTTTTTTCATCTATGCGAGTCAGAAAGTTCCAGATTCTAAATTAATGTTTTCCAAGACAATCACGTCCGCCGAATCAAAATTGATTGAAAATTTTTCAGAAGTCTTTTTACAGGGTACTATCGAAAAAATTAAGTGAACTAATTATTTTTTTGGACAACATTTTAATTAATTATTAATTATTAGATAAAACCATGGACAAAATAGTGAAATATTATTTTTACAGCATTTCTTTGGAACAAACTTAAAAGAGATGCTAATTGTTTATTGGTGCTAACGATTATCTCAGGATATTCATAAACCATATTTTAAAGTTTTTTTAAATGATAACACTATCTATATAACGATAATGTGTATATCTAATCATCATGGTTCTGTAGTAGAGGGCGGACATCCCATGAGTAATCTACTCAAGGATGTAGGGAAAGGAGCAGCTTCTGTTGTGAAGAAAGACCCATAGGTAGAAGTCTGAGTTGACTTCGTGTCATTGAACAAGGAGGGCAATGTCTTCCGGAAGGAAATTTAGGGGGCACTACTACGCCTTTGCTTATCATATGGGAGAAAATCCGGAAGACTCCCACCAGGTAGTCCGACTCACGAGGTAAGATGCTGAGCATCACAAACGCCTTCGAGTCTCCTCGTTTTCTGAAGCGGCCTGGTGGCCAAGTGGCTAGCGCTCAGGCCTTTAGTATCCCATGATTCAGGTTCGAATCCTAGTGGTGGCATGGCTATTTTTAGTGGTTCGGAATCCACTTTAAAACTGTAGGTCCCGGTATATTTAGCCATCATGTGTACAAGATGACCGTAGAGCGACAAACCTCGTTTTCTGAGACAGTGTCTACAACAAAGCCGCCAGTGCAATGAATCTCAGCCTTAATGCTTACCAGCGACTCACGTTGCCACTCAGACACGAATCTGGCATAAAGTGAAAATGCGATTTTTATCAACATGCGATAGTTTATCAACATAGTGCGATCAGTGCGATAGTTTTATCAACATAGCAATTAGATAAATGTATGTTAATTCCTATTATTACAGTTGTAAGCAATGAAAACAATTTTTAATTTCATTATGAAATTGTAAAATTTCATATTTTTTTTGAGCTATAAAATATTTTTTTTTTCAGTTTTAATGATTATAGAAATCTACGAATTTGAAAAGATTTTGAAAAAAGTTTTATATTGTTAAATGCAGTCGCAACTTACAAAAGATATGATATTGAAGAAAATATTCTTTTTTTTTTTAACGAGAAATATCATAAAATTGCATGTTCCCAATATAAAGATTTAAGTGTTTTTTTTTAAACTATCTGTACTTGACAGCCTTTTAAAACATCATTTCAAATTTCTAATTTTAAGTGTTTTATCCAGAGGCTATTCTCTAGTTGAATACAGAAATGCACCAGATTTAATAAAATTTAATGGATTCTTGAAACAAATTCCATTAGTACTGACACAGTTCTTTGCTAGAAAGCCGAAATTAAAGATAATATATGTATATATAATATATATATATATATATATATATATATATATATATATATATATATAATCAATTGTTAATGTCTTTTCTCATTAGCCATTATCCATTATTTTTATTTATCTTCCTATCTTATCAACGTACGATTAAGTAGATAATTGCAGGTTGTTTTAAATTTTTAAGAATTGTGTAATTTGTAAGTCAGGTTTGTTTATCTCTAGATGAATCTGAAGAATTTTAAGGAGATCGGAGATAAACAATAGGAATGCAGATGTTTAATAAATGACTGCATTGGGAAAAATTACGTAACACTCGACATTTAATCAATTAGCTGGAATAAAGTAAGACTTGATTAATGAATGTTATGAAATATTTTTAATTTAAAATATAACTAATTGGACGAATTTTTTTGCTCAAATTTTACTATATATTGAATTAATTACACTCACTAAAAATATAAAATTTAACTGTTGCATTTTTTTGTGATAGTTAAAAAAATTAATATTGTAAATAACCGTTAAATTTATAAATTGCATGATACTTAAAAGAATAAATATAAAAAGGCGTATAATTTATTTTATCTATTATATACTAAATTCTGCTTCTACACAATTAATATGCGTTCGTTAAAGCTATCTTACCCGTTAAATAATTATATTATTACCAGCTATATTTATCCCATTAATAATTGTATTTATTATTGATATATATTTATATTTTATATAACTTGTCAATTAAAGGAAGCAATTTTTACATACATACATATTTATATATGTATATATATATATATATATATATATATATATATGTGTGTGTGTAATATAATG